CTGGGCTAAGAGTCCGATCACTGAACTGAGTCAAAAAGAGTAATGTGACCATGACAGTGGCAAGGGCAGAAGATGTCAGACGGACCCAAAGTCCGAATGCCTGAAACACAGGAAGGAATCTCTTTATCGTAATCGTCCATGACTTATCGATAAACCACGCAGTACTCCGTAACGGCTAGGATGCAGTCGGGCCATCGGTCGATGCAACCAGCCGATGAGATCGTACCACTCAGGCTGAGATCGACTAAATATCGCCCGTGGGGGTCAGTCGTCACATGCATATGCACGGAAGCAGAAGCGAAAGAAGAAGAACAATAACCGATTCCTGTTGCTATATCTGTTTTGTTGAACAGATATTCATGCTCCATTGGACGATCACTCAGGAAGATGGTTTCAATTTCAAGGAAGACTGTCCTCCTGACAATGTCATTGTAATTTTAACTCGATAAAATCCATGACGACTCTCACAGTCTTACTCCGCACCGTATGGAGGAGCAAAACTCATAACTCGTGCGGGGTCTGTCGAAATTGATCTGAATCGGAATCGGGATAAGAAGAAAGCCCTGTCTTGAACAAGAAGTTGAAATCCAAAGGTACGACCCTAGTTATTATCTCGACTGAGGATCGACAGCCAACTACGGAGCACTCCGTAGTTAGGTGGCGGGAAGGAGGATCATTTATTTAGGTAATCTTGGCCGTTAATAGTAGCAATGAGGTAAGGGATCTAGATCTTCATCACCATTAGTCAAATTTTATTGAATCCGTTTTTGATAAGGAAGACTCTGGGAATTCTAAAGAATTATACCATCATTACAACACACCTGCATGCATGGCAATGGGGTTTCTGATCAAGAGACTCGTCACTCGGGGAGGTTTCAAAGTGCCTGGCAGTCCGAGCCATGCCATGCTCTTGGAAGCGTTAATGCTGACTGTCAATAGCCGATAGAATCGAATCAAGGATGTGCGCTCGATACTACTAGGGCCTTGGGGGAGGTTGGATGTGGAACTTGGGGGCCGGGAGAGAAGGATCACTTGGAAGGCTGGCCAGAGCGAATTAGAGCCACGTGAGGATCGGAAGGATCACTTTGCTCATTCGAGACAATTCCTCACATGCCAATCAACCGGCTGATGTGGCGTGGCAAGACAAGGATAATCTTACGACGTTGCAGAGTGAGATGGGCCAACTCGGGCTGTCACGGTCGGTGTTCACTTGTCCTCCGTTGAGCGATTTAGGTAACTGCGGACTGGACAGAGTAGACGGGCATGGATGGAAGTTGCCAGCCAGTCCTCAAAGGGAAGGGGCGGATGGCTGGTCGTAATTGGCTAAAACTGGCCAAAAAAAAAAGAGCCTAAATTAATAACCAGCGATATAGCTGCGAAGCCTGGGAATGGAAAATATTTCCACTGTGACGGACGTCTTGAAATGTCAGGTATGGAATTTCTACCTCCGAGATTTGACATTTACCCGATTTTGCCCTATTTTCCCTGGTTGCGACCTGGAAGCCCCTCGTGGAGCGGTGGGCGTGGGGTGTCCTGATCGACAGCCCGTACACCAACAACAATACCGTTTCATGCGTGTACTCCGCGGCTTCCCCGCGGCTCAGCACAACGAATGAGAGAGGCGATCTTGGTTTATTTTCGTTCTTTATCTTTGCTGCAGGTTGGCTGGACGAATCAGGTCCTGGAGGTGACGAAATCTCGACAGTCCATGAACTTTAGAGGATTGAATACGAGGATTTATGGCCGTTACACTTGCACAAAGAATCCCAATGCTGTTGGCAAAGATATCATGACCATATCAAGTGCAGTAATCTTCCAGAATATCTTGTGAGCTGCTCTATTTGGAAAAGGAAGGGTCCTATGTTGCTATTGACATGAGCTGACACGAAGTACACTGTAGTACTGTACGGAGGATACCGTATGTAGTATGTACTGTACAGCACAGCACCAGTCCATGCATACGCTAATACCCTGGTAATTCCTTATCCATCAGTAAGCCAGGACCAATGCAGGCCAATTGACAATCCTGGCCTCCCAATCGGCCAGGTTATTCGTGGAAACATCCTGAGAATTTTTCAGTTCGACACAATCACATCAAAGCGAAGCATGCTGTCCGGAACATCTCGACAGCTGGCTGGGTATGATCGACTGGGAAGATGATCTACCACAACCTGTATGGACAGGCTTCAAAACGTCTGACGCGGAGTGTCGCCAATGACCTTGCCGGAAGTGTCAATAGGGACGGCGTCGTTCGGCGTTGACCCTCACACATCGATGTCCATTGTGGGCAAGATGGAGGGGCAGGACACATGCCACATAATTAGGGCCGCGGATACGGAGTAGGAAAGGACTCGATGGATGGATGTAGCAGGTACTGGAAATTCAGCCTGGAGACTCGTGCATGCAGGAAACTGGCGCAGCGGCTGTTCTGACTCTCACCGCCAGAGTATCAGCAGAAATATCGCTCAAGACAGGCAGGAAACAGGAATCCTCGCACGGTGGGGTTGCAGGCCAGAGGCATTCTGCAGTCTGCAGGCTGGCGAGCGTGCGCTGCGCAGGCAATCATCGTTGCATTGTGCGAGGAGCAGCGGGCGACGGTGGGCAGACGCAGGCCAACAACACGGCGGGCGGTGATTCGCAGGCGGGCGGTACTGCTGTCACGTAACAAAGCGAATTTGCAGAACGGCGTGGAGCAGCTGCCTAAGCGGGACAAGGCCCGTGCCGGCCAGAACCATTGGGCCATTCAACATTGGGTCGCTTGCCGAGCCTGGTGCTGCGTCCACGCCGGCGCCGGCGGATGGCCTGTTCGCTGCTAGCCGGCCCCTAGCCTAGTAGCCTGCCCCCTCCGGCCCTGCAACCTGCTCTGCAGCCAGGCCTGCCAGCGTCCCAGCAAGGGCCCGCGCGCTGCCGCCTCCTCCCTCGGCTGGCCTCTCTCCGCTAGTTCCCTGGGCCGTTCCGCCAATTCCACTTCCAAATCCAAATCTCCCTCCAGTCCAGTCCTCTTCTTTCTCATTCCCACCTCCAAACCGCTCAGCTCGATCG